ATCTCAGAATGGAAACTGCTCCATGGATACATAGCTGGTATTTATGTTGTTAGAGTTGCCTAGAGCACTAAGAAGTGACTTAGATAGGGTCACACAACTGTGTCAGAAGCAGTTCTTCAACTAAGGTCTTCCTTGCTCTAAAATAGGCCCTTTATTTACTATTATATGTTGCCTCTCAAGCCATTTAGTAGCTATGTGGCTTTGGGCAAGTCACTTAAGCTCTTTAGGCCTCAAGTTCCTTTCTACTCATCATTAAGAGATAGCATTTATGTAGCACCTGTAGTTCTAGCCACTGTACTAAGCACTTTAATAATAATAAAAGTTAACATTTATATGGCACATAGTAAAACACTATGCTAAGTACTTTACAAGTATTATTTCATTAATCCTCACAACCCGCTATTATTGTCCTCATTCTACAACTGAGGAAACTGAGGCAAACAGACGTTAAAGTGACTTGCCCAAGGGTCATACAAAGAGTAAGTGTTTGAGGATGTATTTGAAAGCCCATCTATAAAATGAGGATATTGGGTTAGATTACCTCTAATATCCTTCTGGGCTCTAACCCTACCATCCCTGTATCTCTTAGAAGTGTTATTATTTATGGTTGTTAAGTTCCCAGCGAAGTTTGGAAAAGCCTACTTAAATCCACAACCTAGCTGAAAATAAGAGTAATTTTTAGCCTCTCATTTCCCTAAAGAAGGTGGGGGCTAAAAGTCCTAGAGATTAGGTAGAATAGGGAGAAAACTCTAATGGCAAAGAAGCAGGGAGGGCAGTTGATGGAGTCTCAGATAATTCCCACAGCAAAGTATGTGGAGGCCAGTGCATTAATAGTAAGCATAACATACTAAATGGGCTAGTAATACTCACACAGAAAGATCTGCCAAAAATTCCTTCACTATGTTGTAGTTTTATTTTCCAATTAAAATAAAAGGGAATTACTGAAAGGCAAGGTTTCTGAAGAAAATATTCATATATTCATGTTAAGACTTATGGTAAAAAGACTCAATGCTTATGTTTTCAATTCTTTAATATATTACAGTTTTTAGAAAGTAATAGAATTTTCACTGGTATTGACATTTCACCCATAAAACAATTGATTTAGCATCAGAAGAGGTATCCTTTTGGTTAATTCTCAAGCTATCTAAATTTTTCTCAATTTGTTATCTTAAGATAAAGCACAACTCATTTTATATTTTTTCACTGTTAAAGAATATAAATTAAGAGCTAATTTTTAAAAATGCAATTATAATTTAAGTAACCAAAATATACCATGTACTTTTCATATACCTATTATTTAACATGAGTTATTTTTCTAAGGTACTTTTTTTTTTTTAAGGCAATTGGGGTTAAGTGACTTGCCCAGGGTCACACAGCTAGTTAGTGACAAGTGTTTGGTCTGAGGCTGGATTTGAACTCAGGTCTTCCTGACTTTAGGGCCAGTGTTCTCTCCACTGCACCACCTAGCTGCCCCTCTAAGGTACTTTTTTTTAGGCAATTGGGGTTAAGTGACTTGCTCTGGGTCACACAGCTGGTAAGTGTCAAGTGCTTAGTCTGAGGCCGGATTTGAACTCAGGTCTTCCTGACTTTAGGGCCAGTGCTCTATCCACTACACCACCTAGCTGCCCCTAAGTTACTTTTTTTTAAATTAAGAAAGCAAAGCACCAAAAAACAAAAAGACTACCAACCTGACCAGTGATGGATAGTGCAAATGAGCAGACATCCAGACATGCGCATATGTATGTATATGCATACTCATGTTTATTTGGGCCTATGATTTCACTGTTACGGGGAACTCTGATGAGGAAGCTCCCTCAGCCAATGCTGAATGACAACTGGTTTGCATCTTAGAGTCCTAGAAAGCTTCCTGGAAACACAGAAGAGGTGAAGGGACTTACCCATGGTCATAGAACCACAATGTGTCAGAGGCTAGACAGCTATCATTCTCTCACACTGATTCTCATATATGCCTACGTATAAACAGCTAGCTGTAGAGTTACAGACACACACCTGGATAAATATGGGAGTATGGATTTTCATACTAGAGGTATCTGAAACTTTGTTGGCTTTGGGGACTATCCACTGACAAGATTTCAACTCCTCCAACATGTAGTTGCTACAGTCAAAAAAACTGATTACCAAGTGGTGATCACAATATGCATGTTATACATATGAATTTGTAAAATGTGTGCATGTGCATATACACATATATGTATATATACATGTGTATATATATACACACACATATGTATATATTTAAGACAATTCAATAATTTAAACCACCCATTTATAAACAAAACAAAACTTATAGTCACAGAATTTCAGTTGCAGAGTGACAACCTAGTCCAACCTACATTGGAAAAAGAATTTCCTCCTAAGCATGCTTGAAGATTGGTCATCCAACCTTTGCTTAAAAGGTCACGATGGAACCCACAATCTTTCTGAGCTAGCTCTTTCCTGTTTTAGATCACTCTGATTGTTTGAAGGGGCAGCTACATGTCACGGTGGATAAAGTGCTGGGCCTGGAGTCAGGAAGACTCATTTTCATGAGTTCAAATGTCAGACACTAGCTGTGTGACCCTGGGCAAGTCACTTAGCCCTGTTTACCTCAGTTTCTTCATCTGCAAAATGAGCTGGAGAAGGAAAGAGCAAATGACTCCAGTATCTCTGCCAAGAAAACCCCAAATGGGTAAAGAAGAGTCAGAGATGAATGAACAACAATTGTTAGAAAGTTTCTTCCATCAAACCTAAATTTGCCTCTTTACATCTTCCACCTGTTGCTCCCAATTTTGCTCTGCAGAGTCAAGAAGAACAAATCTAATCTCTCTTCCACGTGGCAGCCTTTTAAAAACCTGAAGAGAACTATCCTATTTCATCCAAGTTTTGGCCTCTTCCAAGTGAAACATTCCCATATCCTTTAACCAGTCCTCACATGGCATGAACTAAAAGTACTTCACCATCCTGGCTGTCTTTCTCCGAGTACTCTCTTGTTTCCTAAAATATGGTGCCAAGAACTGGACACAACATAGATTTGTCCTAACCACAGCTAGGTAGACCAGGACTATCATCTACTTACTCCTTTTTCTCTCTTAAAGCAGCCCACTATCACACTGGCTTTCTAGGTTGCTGTATTATGTTGTAACTCTACTTTCACTATGCCTTTAGATCCAAATCACTCTGGCTTTCACTGATTGCTCAATACGAGGTCCTCTCCCATGCCTTACTTGCTCATTGTTTGGGTTTTGTTGGCTCAGAGTGAGTATAAACAGTGATTGTTTCTGTTCTGACCAGAAACTCTAAGTGTCTTCACCCCCCAGAATGATTCTTCTGTGAAGGCAAACAAGGCCATCTTTTGCATTAATTCTTACCTAGCCTTTAATTACTGAATGTGCTTCAGATAAACTGAGACCTGAGAAAGTCCTTAGTTTAAAAAGGCCAAGGTCTCCCACTGCATCTGGGGCCAGTGCCAGAAGTCTTGACTTGTGTCTTGCTACTGGACTTTGATGCCTCTGGAGGAGTGAGGCTGATGACTTTGCACAACCCTGCCTTACTTAAGTCCTATTCACTTGCACCACCCTCCTGAAGTCATACGTGCTCTTCAAGAACAAGGACAAACAATTCATATTTAATTTGCTGCTCACTCAAAGCCACAGATCTTTTTCATATGAAATGTTTGTCTAACCATACCTCCTCAGTCTTATACTTGCAAATTCAACCTGTGTAAAACTGTACATTATCTACATTTACACTGAAATAAAACTGTATGGTAATTTTTATCTCATTAAATTTAATCAAATGTCTTAGGCTAAGATCTTTTTGGATCTTGTATCTGGTGTGGTAGCTTCTCTCTCTACCTCTCCCCCAACTTTGTGTCACTTGCATGTTTGATATGCATATATCTATGCCATTTTCCAAGTGACTTCACTGCCATGGTGTCAATCATCTGCTATAACCCAATATTGACTTCTGATTTTATTAATCTTCACCTAGACACCAGAAGCATTGTAAAGACAAAAAACTCTTTTCTCTTCCCAGTAACTTCTGGTTAGCTCCATAGTGACCTTGAGTGGGCAGTCTACACTCTGAAGCAGTCACTGGTAAGACCATCACCCCTTACTTTTAGCTCTTCAGTGGGAAAAGGAGGAATGGATGTGTTGCAATATTCATAGATTCCACTACATTATCTTTCCTGCTAAACTGATCCCTCTTCTAAACTTCCTTATTTCCACAGAAGATATATTTCCAGTCTCCAAGGTTCATTATCCCTGATTCCTCAATTTAAAGTGCTATCTTCAAAGTAACTAAGAATCTCCTAATTGCCAAATTTGGTGGCATTTTCTCAACTCTCATCTTTCTTGTTCTCTTTGCAGCATTTGATACTAGAGACCATACTCTTCTCTTGTATACTTAACTCTCTTCAGTTTGCAGAAAATTATATAAGTATATCAACTATAAAATCATGTGTCATATCTTTAAAAAATTGGAAACAAATTTATAACCTGTTTTTTTGTTAAAATTTTGTTAAATACATAAAAATATAATACCTGATTAATTTGCAAGAACTGAGTGACATTAGGGAAGATTATTAGCTGAATTTTAATAAAAACCTTTATATAACTAGTGGATGGGATTGACAAATAAGCATTGTGATTTTGTAAGCCAATGGTGTACTTCTTCCATATAGATCTATATATCTTTGTGAGGTATTTTTTTCAGCTATGACAGCCATTAAAACTAAGTAATGAAATAAACTGTAATTAGAACCAAGACTTCTGAATTACTATCACAAAATAAGCCAATTTTTTAAAAATATGGCATATTCTATCATACTGTTCACTGAAACATCATTAACAATTATTATTAATTTGGGAAAAGAGGATTGTTTTTACTGTTCTCAAATCAATTTTTTTCATTTTTTGTTTTTGTGCAACCTTTAAAATGTCTATTTTTGTGTAAATTTACATATGATTTTCTAAGCAAATATACACATACTAATGGCATACATTCAAAACTAATTTACTGATAGAGGTATATGATCAAAAACTCTGTAGATCACAAGTCTAAAGATACAGTTAATCTTCATTTCCAAACTATTTTTACTTCCTAAAAGATCATTAGGCAAGTCTGAGAGAAAAAAAAGGTACGAAACATGACAGAGGCAATTTCAGATGTTGCTTAAGCCTGGTTATGCGGTAATATAATAGTAATGAGTAACATAATGTAATAGTAGTGAGGTAATATAATAGTAAAGGCATCTAACTTTATATAGAACTTTAGAGTTTGCAAAGCACTATACATACATACATACATACGTACATATGTATACACACACATACACATATACACATTAGGTCATGGGCCTCATAATAATCCCATAAGCTAAGTACTACAGGTATTACTCCATTTTACAGATGAGAAAACTAAGGCTCAAACAGGTTAAGTAACGTGGTCATACAACTAGATACAAAAGGAACACAGTATCTTCTTATTCCAAGTGTTTTTTCAAATATATTAAGGATTGCCTATAATGTGCCATGATTTTAAAATAATGCAAATAGTCAAAAAATATTTAGCAAATGTAATCTATGGCAACCAGTGGTGACGAAGAAAGGGCACGGGATTTGGAATTGGAGTAGCTGGGTTCAAATCCTAGGTATTACTTATTACAAACTACTTTTTTACTTTAGTGATCTGGGATAAGCCAGTGGGCCTTTAGTTTCCTTATCTGTACAAATGAGGAGGTCAGATGAGATGATTTATGAAGCAGTGTCATACAGTGCAAAGAGAACTAGCTTTGGAGTCACAGGTCCTGGTTCAAACATGTCTTCTGATACATACTGTCTATGTGACCTCAGGCAAGACACTTAACTTTCCTGGGGTTGCTTAGCAATCTTGAAAGAATTGGTCTAGAAGGCTTCTGAGGGCCATTCCATCTATGATCCTGTGAGCTGAAAAGTTCTGTCCATCTCTAAATATGACCCTGTGACCCAAAGATATTACAAAGGCATCCACATGCTATTAGGGTACATTTTATAGCTCAACTTCTTTGCAGGAAAGAACATTCTTACTAGTTGTTATTCAGGAAAGTAAGCAAGCAGCCATTAAATCACTTTGAGCATAAGCCAAAAACAAATCCTTATTTCAAATGGAATTGTTTTTTAAAAAAAAATCTAAAATTGGTTAAGTTCAAACTAATGATACTTTTATTTTCGAGATGTAGTAGAATTTACACAATAAATTTGACATAATGTAGCTTCCAGGGATTAGTGTCTTAATTATGTCTTTAGAGAGATTTGAAATGGTGACTCTGACATGCATTCTTAAGTATTACCTATTTTGCTTAAAGAAGGTGGATTCTGTTTCTAAGGAACATTTACTTCTGACATTTCGATCCCTGACTTTAGTGGCTGCAGACTCTGCACCTCTGTGCCGCACTTAGGACAAGTGAAGTACATGTCAAACAAGTAGCTGCTTTTAACACAATAATAACAAAACACATGTACACAACCTATGGTATGAGGCATAGTGGGCCACTCTCCACAAAGGGAACATTCTTTGCCATGGGTGGCTAATGTATCATCACTGTTAGGAACACCTGTGATGGGGATACACCAAGATGACAGTTTGGCTTTCAACTTTTGGATATTAATAAGTGGTAAGAGAAAGATCAGAAATTCTGCAAAACCATGCCACAAAAGTTCCCTGTTCATGTACTCAAAGCCAACTTCTCGGATGTTTTGGGGTTTGCAAAATACAGATCGAATACCTAAGAGACGCTCTGTCAATGTAGCAAACTTTCCTTTTTGAAGGAAAATCAGGAAATTAACCAAACTACTTACTTTCAAAAGCCCAACAATAAAATTAGTACACTGTTTGATTTTATAGAACGATGCTAAATGGTGGTTACGGAATAAATCATAACATCTTTCTTCTAACCACCTTCCTCCAATTGTGCAAACAGCATACCATAACTTTTGATTTTTACTTAGTGGCTGATATTTCTGAGTTTGAGAAAAATCATTCTTGTATTGGATATTCATAATTGACTGTCCCACAGTGGCATTCTTGGAGTAAATGGTGAATCTCCATAAGAAAAGCCACAAAAATGCTTTTACCTCAGGTTCAAACCGGGCTAAGAGCCCTGGCTTAAATCCATGAAAACAATGAGTAAACTGGGACCAAACTAATTGTTCCAGGGCTTTGTTCAGTTCCAGGGCATCCAGTTGACTTATTCTCAGTACAGGGCTTGTGTGCTCAGTATTCTTTCCTTTGGAAGACATATCTTCTTCACTGCAGGACTCTGGTGAAAACAAACAAATAAGTCAACACACCCCAATTTATTAATGCTTAAATTTTGTAAAAGCATGATTCGTGTTCAGGACATTCAGGACAAAAACTATACCATTAAACAGTGCAAAAATATACTATAGCAATGTAGTTACTATAATTTCTTTATTATAACTGTATTCTTTCTCCTATCTCATATATATTTACATACTATATATATGTATATATGTGTGTGTACACACACACATTTAGTTGGTTGTATCCTTTTTCTTTTTTGCTAGGCAATGGGGTTAAGTAACTTGCCAGGGTCACACAGCTAGTAAGTGTTATGTGTCTCAGGCCCGACTTGCACTCAGGTCCTCCTGAATCCAGGGCCGGTGCTCTATCCACTGTGCCACCTAGCTGCCCCGGTTGTATTTTTTTTTCAACAAACCACTTCCAAGGCAGAAGTGTCCCATAAACTTTTAGCCAGATACTTTAACCATTACCATAAAAAAATTAAAATTAACACTATTTTCCAAATTACCTTTAAGTTAATATGATTAATGGGAAAGTTTATCATAAGACTAATAACTGTAAACTATAACTTTTCACTAGATGGTGAATCAAGACAAGAGTTTAATCTGTAGCTCTGGCATTTTCCACATTTATATTTTTAAATGAATAATTTAATTTTTAATCGCTATCCTTTTCATTGATAAAGGCAAGTGGTGGGGATAAGAGAGGTGAATGCCTATCATGCTACTGTGAAAACTGACAAGGGAAAATCAATTCTTTTTAAAAAACAATCCAAATAAATATAGTAATATTATCACTAAAATACTAATAGGTACAAATTATATATGGGGGAAATTTTCAAAGGAATATTGAAAGCTATAGCACAAATGTTATTCAGAAATGTGGTGAACTGTAGGGGTCACGGGTATAGGATAAAAAAGAGAACAAAAGTGTCAGGAATATTACACATCACCAAAATGATGAGGTAGGGAGTCTTTTCCCTTATCTAGACTACTCTTTTCCTCAAATTATAGTCCATTTACAGAGTTAGGGTCCTGATTTAGAATCAGAGAAACATGAGGTATATATACTCACATTCTGAAGGACAGTGACTCTGGCTTGGTTTGTTGTAATATGGCACTGTACTGATATTCAATAGAAAAGCATCCACATTTTGGCTGCATCACTGGAATACCACAGATTAGAACATCAGGATGAATCTAATAAGATGAAAATAGGGATAAAATTTTATACCTGGGTTTAAAAAATCAACTTTACAAGAACAAGATAGAAGGGGAGACATTAATTTACCTGAAAAAGATCTGAAAGTGGTAACACAAACTTCAGCTGCATTAATTGAAGCACAGCATCCAAGACTATGGAACAGAAGCATAATTCTTCAAATGAATAAATGAAAGAGATTGTATGAAGTGCCCACTATGTGACAGACACTGTGCTAGGCACTATAGATATAAATCCAGAAATGAGACAGTAATTGCCCTCAAGGAGTTTACATCAAATGGGAGAACAACACATACAGCAGAGTGCCAGGGAAAGGTTGGAGAGTCAAAGGAATGGTGAACAGTCAAAGTGCAGTCCAATGTCAACGTACTTTTCAGAAGCAATAGCAGGATTGATTTGATACTGTTAGGTAGGTAGATACTGTTAGGTAGAAAGAATGGGTGGAGAAGGGCAGAATGTGTAGTGTGGCAAGATGTCCCAAAATGTCTGGGGTAGGTGGATGTAAAACATGGTCTAGGTTGTTAGATACATTCATTAAGGCAAGTTTGCACTCACTCACTAGCCACTCATTGCTTAGCAGATTTAATTCACTTAGGGAGAGGCATGATATCTAGTACAGATTGGTATGTTCGAGGTGGGGAGTAGAAGAGTTGCCAGGTGAATGGCACAATATCCCAAACTTTCTAGTGTGGATGGCTATATACTACTGAAAAGATTATGGGGAATGAGTGAGGTGGGAGAAATAAGAAAACATATGGCACAGTATTAACTACCTTACATCACCATAAAGGGTGTCCCAAAAACCTTACTGCAGCTTTAAGATACTACTAAAACTTAAAACTAAAACTGCACTAATGTTTTTGGGATATTCTGTATTTCTTCATAGCCTTAGTCTGAATTCCAGATTATCATAAACTATTTTCAACCCCAAATAGACTATGTTAAAATAGCATGAGTAAAAAGAAGAGTTGAGCATCATTTGAATGATTAAAGAAAAAATCAAAGTATACCTGTTTTAATAACATCTGAAATTCCTAAGGAGCAGAGAAACAGCAAGCAACTCATAATTTTGATATACATCACATGTCAATAGCAATCAATTGGCAAGCATTTACTACGTGCCAGGTACTGTGCCAAGCATTGGGGATACAAAGAAAGGCAAAACCATAGCCTCTGCTCTTAATGAGTTCATATTCTAATTCGAGAGACAACTTTCAAAGAACTGTACATACAAGATATATAGTATAAACAGAAGGTAATCTAAGTGGGAAGGCACTAGTACTGGGTAGGGGGTAGATGGAGGGGACCACTTAGAAAGACCTCCTTTAGAAAGCGAGATTTGAGCTGATCCCTGATGGAAGCCAGAAGTTAGAGGTGAGGAGGTAGTGCATTCCAGGCATGGAGGACAGTCAGTCAAAAGGCATGGAGTTAGGAGATGGCACATCTTTTAAAAGGAATGCAAGACTAGAGACACTGAATCGCATATCACATGGAAGGGAGAGACTGGAAAGGTAAGAAGGAGTCCACCTTATTGATGGTTTTAAATGCCAAACAAGGCTTTAGATTTGATCCTGGAGGTGTAAGAGGCCAATAGAGCTTACTGAGTGGGGAGGGGGTGTGATATGGTCAAACTTGTGCTGTAGGAAGATCACCTTGGCAACTAAGTTGAAGGATGGACTGGGGAAAGACTTGATGTAGTGAGACCAAACAGAAGGCTCTTGCCATAGTTTAAGTGTGAAAGTGATGAGGGCAGTACCAGATACATGGGTGTGTGAGTGAAGAGTTGACAAATAAAAGGTAGAAATGACAAGACTTGGAAACAGACTGGATATGTGGGGTGAGTATAAGCAAGTAGTCAAGGGAATCAATGTTATAAGCCTGCATGACTGGATGGGGGTACCTTTGACAATAACAGGGAAGTTGGGAAGAGGGTAGGGCTTGGAGGGAAAATAATGAGTTCTGTTTTGTACATGTTGAGTTTGAAATGTCTATGAGGCATAGATTTGGTGATGAGATACTGAAGTCAACTGGGTCAAGAAACCCAGAGAGGAAGAAAAAAAAAAGTATGGCAAGCATAAGATTATGGATCTAGAACTTGAAGGGACTTTGAAAGTCATCTAATCCAACCCCCTCATTTTATGGATGAGGAATCTGAGGCCCAGGGAGGCTAAGGAACTTGGTCAAAGTACTCTAATACCAGAGCCAGTATTCTTTTCACTATAACATGCTGCCTTCAGTCTTAGGGGATCACTCTGTATCCTCAGTTTAAAGCAATACATGATTGTAGAAGGCTCCTAGTCTTTGGATTATCATGATGGACATAGGCTTCAAGTAGAGGGGAATCTTGTGGGATTTATTCTGTTCCACAGCTGGTTGGGAGACAGTAATCTCTGAATTTGGGGTAATCCTGAAGATGTATAAAGTCCTCGGTTTAGGCATTTCAAGATTTCTTCTTAAATGCTATCTAGTTCAATATAAATTGAGAAAGACAGAGAAAGACATAGAGAAGGAGAAAGTGAGAGAGACAGACAGATAGTCTGATACTGCCTGAATCATTACAATGAAGCTACTTGAGTTAAGAAAATTCGGATCAGGTTTCATCTCTAGTAATAAGCGCCCCCCACTACAAAGTAAACTCCTTGTAAGGATTATTTCATTTAAAATATTTATATCTCCAGTGCCTAAGAGAGTGCCTGGAACACAGCAGGTGCTTAATAAATCTATATTGATTAACCTATATATACTTTCTTTCCAATTGCTTCCCCTGTCCCTCATTCTACAGTGCATGTATTGATGTCTTTTGAACTTAAGAGTGAAAGAAAAGGGGGTATAAGAATTCTGTATGAGAACTCCACAGGTAGACTTCTGGTTGAGATGGTGACATTTTGATACTTTTATTTCAAAAGAAAAGAAATCAAAAAATGTCAATGAACTGTTAAAAAATGAACAGAAAAAAAAGTTCAGAAGAAGAGAGAGGATAGCATTGGAATTACTATGTCAAATTTGAATTACACAAAAAAAAAAAATCCCAATGACCCCAAGATGTGTGTAGTGGGAGAAATAGCAAACTGCACATGACAGATGTTTTCAGTTGCAAATAAAATCTCCTTTTTTGTTTTTCTGCCTATGTCCATGTTGGATGCTGTTTATTAAGTTTATAATAACAAGGAAAATTTACAAGAAAAAAAGGTGGCAATATTTTACAGAGCAGTCCAGCGCTCCCAAATACACTTCAGCAAGTATATCTGAAAGGGCACCATAAAGAATGATCATCAAGAACACCAAAAAAAAATAACAGTGAATTCTTCCATAGAGGTCAGGATTATACCAGCCAAAAGCCTATGAGTTCTTAGAGGATGAAAAGAGAGGTAGAAGGCAGCCTCAACTATTCTAAATGGTTTAGTGCAGACCTTCTGAACAGGAGGGGGAAAAGCAGTCTAAAGTCTGCAGTCTAAGACAGGATGGGCTGCAGTGGGCCTGTCCTCACAGAGTTTTAAAAACGTGGGTTCTCATACTCACAATGTACCAGGTGAGGAGAAAGTTAGCACAACAGAGGGGATGTTATTTCTGACCTGCTGAAGCAGCAGGGAGGGCCACAGACCCAGTCTCCATAGGTCATTGCTAAGAGATACAATAGTAACAAGAGCCATGGAGCACTCAAATCCGCAGTAGAAGATAAAGTGAGCTCAACAAGAAGGGATACAGGAGCCAGTATGATGAAGGAGGAAGGGGTGGGGAAGTAGGGAAAGGGATGGGAGCTTTGCAAAGAAGCCTAAGACCAGGGTTATCTCTATCATTTGATCAGGGCCTATCAGGGCCAGAACTGGGCTCAGAACCAACTCCCAGTTGGGTATTTTGTCAATAATTGAATTGGTATTGGAGAGAAAGCAAAAGCTGAGATTGCAGCAGACAATGAAGCTTGGTACTAGAGACCCCTATCTAGAATTGCAGTGGTATCAAGACTACAGTGGAAAGAAGACCAAACAGGAACTGTGCACTACATTCAAGAGTTCATGAAAAGGTAGAGATGGGACCTAACACAAAGTTCCAACACAGAAATTGAGACTGGAGATGAAAAAAGGAAGAGAAGTGGCAAACAAAATGAAGAAATAGCATGAGTTACACGAGGCCCAAGAGGTTAACCCAGAAGAGACTGTTATCTACAGGTACAAACAGTCAGAGAAAAGAAAAGCTTAGCCACAAAGACCTCAAGTGCGGCTGGAAGAAACAAAGCAATAGATGAATCGCTGAATAAATGGTAGTATATGAATATAATGGAATATTATTATACAATATTACACAATAAGAAACGACAAGAAGGACATCTTAGGAGTAACCTAGGAAGATATGTGTGAACTGATTAACAGTACAGGGGGCAGAGATTATCTTATTTAAACTTTGTATCTATGCCACTGTCCAGTATAGTGTGGTCCACAGTAGACATACAAGAGTAAGAATTAACTAAAAATGGAGTGGGCTACCTCTATTTGTAGTGGTTTCCTCCTCTCTGGAAGTCTTCAGGCAAAGGCTGGTTGACTCTTAATGAGACATATTGTAAAGAGGATTCTTTTTCAAATATGTATCAGTCTAGATGTCCACTGGTCTTTTCTACCTACAAAATTCTGTGATTTCATGAAATGTTAACTCTATTTTGACCACTCCCATATTCTATCTATTTTCCTCCATCCATTTCACAGATATTCATTTTAATATTTAGCTCTCCCTCTTATGCTCAAAAAGTATACTTTATTGGAGTTGGATTTTTCTCACCTCATACTCACTTTTCAAATCTTTGCAATTTGGCTTCTGAGCTCATCACTCAATTGAAAATGTTCTCTCCAAGGTTATCTTTTCTCAGTCCTTTTCCTTCTTGACTTTTCTGTATTTTTTTGACCCTGTAAATCACCGCTAGCCATTCTCCCCACACCGTACTCTCATGACGCTCCTCTCTCCCGGTTCTCTTTCTCCTGTCTGGCTGCTTTTCAGTCTCCTTTGCAGGATTAACATTCACATCACTCTCATACATGGGTGTGCCATAGGCCATTCTTCTCTATTTCCTCTCAGTGATCTAGTTTCTACCAGTTTGTGAGTGTGTGTGTGTGCGTGTGTGTGTACCCAGTCCACCTGAATGTCTCACAGGAGCCTCAAACTCAGTATATTCAAAATATAACTCACCCTTTCTCCAAATCCTCCCTTCTTCTATAATCTCTATTTCTAACAAAGGCACCAAAATTCTTCTAGTCATTCAGGTTTGCAACCTTAGAGTCATCCTTTGTTCTTCCTTCTCCCTCATTTCTTACATCCAATCAGTTGTCTTGTCAATTCTATTACTGTACTCCAAACTAATGTATTTTACATTTGTCCCTTCTCTCCATCCACTCATCACTTTTTACCCTGACATATACTAATAGTCCCCTAATTGTTTCCCTATTTCTAGCCTGTCTTCTATAAAGATGACAAATTCTTAAGATGTAGGTTTGACCACGTCACTATCCTGCTGAAGAAATTGCAGTGATTCTCTGCTGTCTCGAGGACAAAGTCCAAACCTGCTGTTTGACCCTTACAACTTCCAACTTAATTTTTTAGACCTATGGTACATTACAGACAAGTTCTAGTCAAACTTACCCACTTCACTGCTCCTTTCCCATGTCATTCCATTACTCCCATCTGTGCCTTTTGCCTGGAATGCACTCCTCCTTCATCTCTACCACTAAGAACACTGAGCTTCA